CCCCTTCTCAAATATAAGCACAAATATTAATGAGGAGAAATTGCTTACATGCAGAGTCCAATGAAAGCTCCCGAACGCGCCCGCCCACCTCTCGGAGAATCTGAGGAAGCGCGAACGCGATGGCAGCGAAACCAGGCTCCCCTGTAAGCGGGATCGATTCGACACTGTACAGGGGCTTCTTCCCGGTCTTGGGATCTGGCTCGGAGCGACTAAACTCGTCCAACAGAATATTTGCAGAGTTAAGTTCGTCAGGGTCGCGTTTCCACTCGGAGGCATTGTTTTCTGCCCACATTGCATAAATAACTTTCCGAGTGAATGAGGGGCGTGGGTGTATCTTCAAAATTTCGTCCCAAAGCTGTCAAAGATGAAAGACTAGAGATTTAACAAAAAATGGATGACGCACCTGGGTAGGGGTAAGCCTCGAGCTGTGGTGAACGAAATCAATGATCTCAGGAGGGACATCAATTTTCCAGTATGGTACATGGTCTTCCGCATGCCCAATGCACCTGAAACTGCCTCGGTTTGCCACAAACTTGTGGGACTAGACTTACATGATAGTCCCACAAGTTTGTGGTGATCACTCCTTCCACACGTTACACATATTCCACCCCCCCTTTTCCAGTATTCCCACTGCTTTTAGCAATGACTCTGCGTAGCAGAGAAAATTTTGCCCTTTTACACTGTTTCCACTGGGTTTTGAAGCCTTTTTAAGGAGTAGTCAGATTTGTTAAAGTAGTCAGTAATTTTGTGACTCCCCTTAATTCCACCATTTCCATTGGATGTTTTTGGGAGAGTCAGTATTGGTTTGTGACCCTCTTAACTTCCACCACTTCCACCCATCCTGCTTTGCGAGTCAGAGCAGTTTTGTGACTCTCTTAAACTTCCACCACTTCCACACATCTTTTTTCAGGTGTCAGTAAAAGTTTGTGACCCTCATAAGCTTCCACTGTTTCCACCCATGATCTTTCAAGAGTCAGTAATATTTTCTGACCCCAGTAAATTTCCATCCTTTCCACCTCTCAACACTCTCGTTTTTTAACAGTCAGTAACCATTTGTGACTTTGCTAACTTTCCACTGTCTCCACTGCTCACTAGTGATATTTTGTTCTGGGCGTACCTTTCCATGGTTTCCACTCCTTGCTTTCACCCATCAACTACATGGTCCACGTCTGGTGGCTCTCTGTATCTTCCAGTTTTCAATGTATAGGCCATTACACCTGTAACCCCAATAGTATTTCCACTATAAGCCTGTGATCTGAGCTCTGATCTTTGTCTCACAATTATTTGAACAAATGCCAACTAATTTTGGATCCCCATTCTAGAGCAGTCCCAGATATGTGATACACTGGGGACCTCATTTGGCCCAATGATTCATTATATGACTTGAATCTTTTCATTTTGATTCAATTTGACATACTTGTCCCGATAAGGACCCCTACACTTTTAGCCAAATAAGGAAATTTTTTGTTAATCTTCATTACAATGGGATTCTTATACACTGTGAGCATTTGTAAAGACAGTGAAGGATTGCTGGATCAACCATTATAATCTCATGAACCCTCAAGACTTCAAATCCATCCTAAGAGCACCTGGGATATGATGTAAAACTCTACAGCTGATGGCGGCAATGTCATATCCAGTAGGCCAGTGTATTCAATTAATTTTAGTGCACTTTGGGTGTCTGGGAAAATATTGCCAGACGACTCTTGCAATTGATTGTCTCATTGTACCCCATGATATGTTTGGTGATTGGCATCTGCCATTCCACTGCTAGTACAGATCCCAGCAGAGGGATAAAAGTCAAAAGAGCCCAAAGAATCCCAACAATCAGCAGTGCACAACCATTGAAAAGTTGGTCCCACAGATTTCTTCATTCTGATTGCTGAGGATTATCGTGCCAATATTCCACCCTATCAAGCACCATTTCAATTTAGAACATATCCCAGATTGGTTCATACATGCCATATAAGTGGTGTTGCACCAACTCACAGATATAGTATTTTGATATCACTTTGTGTTTCTGCACTTACCAGTGATATAGGAAGATATTAGGTGCTTCCTATCCTTGTCTTATAGCATTCTTGTGATAATTGATCATAAATGGCCACACTTGGGTCATGTAGGACATCTCAAAATGGTTCCATACATGCTGGTACCTGTGATTCAGAAATCATGTGTTATACTGGTCTAGTTAATGGAGTATTGTGTGTGAACATTTACAAGGCCTTCATACATGTTCCAAGCAGGCTCTGTCCATTTTCAGTTTTTTTCATCTCATCATTACATTGATTAAACACACTTTGGGTCTGGAGGGCCATTATAGGTATGTTGGAGGTTCCAAATGACATCTAAATTCAGTTGCTAGTGTTATTCATTGCTGTATATCAAAATCTGGCCGAAATCCCAATTTTGTGCATCATTAGGTCTGAGAAGTAAAGTATATATATGAGAATTAGTGGCATTCTGGTACTTTCCATGTCTGAACACAAAACCACTCACAGAATATAGCAGTAAATACCAGATTTATTCTAAAGGTAGAATAATCCTTAAAACAATGATCTGTCTCCTCAGAATCTCAACCCTTCATCACAAGCCAATAGGATATACATTTTGATGTGGTTCTGGATGAGTTGAGTTCGCGATCACCTTGAAATGAGTTCGCGATCACTCCCAGAAAGGCTATTTTTCCATCGTTTCCATGGAAATCAGTGCATTTTTTGGAGGAAATCGTGGAAGGTAAGATACATCTTGGTGGAAACAGTGGAATCTGAGATACATGTGTGATGGAAACAGTAGAAGTCATGATGGAAACCGTGGAATTGGGAAGTTTCTCAAGGTCAATGATGGATTCATATGAGCACAGTAATTATCATATCAGGTGATATAGATCCTTACCTTCGCTTTATCCCTGTTCTCGGAATTCCTGTGACAGTGGTATCTGGCCGAGAGGATACAATATATCAGCGACAGACAGAATGGTCAATTATTGAGACGCAGACAAAGCGATACTTCATTTTACTCCAGATGGAAGCCGTGAGCGCGTCGGCGCGCTGACGGCGTGATCCCGAAATAGATGAGATGTCGACGCGTGCCTCGAGCTTCAAATTGTCGTCCTCTTGCGTAAGGGCGTCGAGGAAGTCGTGTAATGACAGGATGCCGAGACCGCGGCCGACATCCTCCTCTTCTGCATCGAAATCGGGGGCGGCATTCTCTTTTTTTCCAGAATCCTTCTGTCTCTGCTTCGCCGACCGCGTCCGGTCTGTACAAACAAGACAGGTTTTCGTGCGGGTCCCGTTGCCTTTGGTGCTGAATGCTACTGCTGGTTTGGTAGTTTTACACCCGGAGCACAGATGGACATCTTCGATCTGCTCGGTGTCCGACATAGAAGCTGATTGCGGGTTCGACGTGGGAGTAAAAATACGCGACGCGACGCGTTGTGTATATGGTCTTGTTTACATTACGGCTATGTACGGCAACCGGCTTCCCGGAAAATCACATGTCCCGTGAAAATCTGCTCGGTCAATTGCGGCTAGTTGCAAACACACGAGGTGGCGCTCGATAAGCGTGGTCGGATGCGGACGGAGGGACGCACGCATTGCACAGGTTGGTCCCATTCGGCGGTGGTCATGGTTGGGGCAGCAGGTGGGTGAAGCGGCGAGCGAAGACGAGGGACGCAGTGGCGGACTGAATCAGAAAAGCGGAGAGGTGTTTGGTCGTGTTGGGGGCGTGGGGCACGTGGTGGATAACAACCTTGACCGCAAACCAGCAACTGGAATTTGGGGGCGCAGGGGAGGCTCGTCGACTGTGGATATCTGCACCAGGGATTTCCTCCGAACTCGCAACCTGGATCGCTTCTTGACTGCTGCAGGTCACGACTTGGAATTTTGGATTCTGGAATGCTCCGTCAGGAACTTGGTTTCTGCGCTCTCAGCAAGAAATCGCGACTAAAATAAATGCCAGCGAGGCGCTCAAGGCGCTACGCCCCAGGTACAACATCCTATCCCGCCGCTTCCCGGAACATCGCTCCATCTACCAATATTAATCTTGCCGATTCTTCCGCGGAAATCTGAGTCTTGTCTCACGACCTGTCGTACTCGTCGCCTCATTCAAGTAAGTGCAAAAGCAACACGAGGAAAGCCCGGTAGCGGATGGTCCCCCCCCCCCGCATTAAATTGCTGAAAATCCTCGCACGCTTTATGCGGGAGGTGTTCGTTCGAATCGAGTCCGGGCCTTGGACGTCGAAGCCAAGATTTCTCTCCCCTTTTCCCTTCGAAGATGCCGATCTGTTCCATGCGCAGGCTATAAAAACAAGGCCCGGTAGCGGATGGTAATGTCGCGAATCCATTTGTCCTGCAAGAGTCACTCGTTCGAATCGAGTCCGGGTCATATTTCGGTTCTTGTGAGTTTTTTGCCCTCCTTTCCTGTGCAATAGTGCTCGCATAATTTCGTGCGCAGGTTATAGTTCCAAGGCCTCGTAGTGAGTGGTCCGTCCCTCCATACAACTCGTGATTATAAATGCACCATTCTGAAGGCATCGCTCGTTCGAATCGAGCCCGATCATATTTGGGTTCGTGTGAGTTTTTTGTCCCTTTTTCAATGAAATAATGCCCATCTAATTTCATGTGTAGGCAATACCAGAAAGGCCCGGTGGCCGATGATCCGCACCTGCATCCCATCGTTTCGACACCACAGTTCCGCGGGAGTCGCTCCTTCGAATCGAGCCCGGGTCATATTTGGGTGTGTCCGCATCATTTTTTCGCCCTTTTCGGTCCTCTTTCCTTGAATTAATCCTTATCCGTCTCGTGCACACGCAACAAGAATAAGGCCCGGTAGCAGATGGTCCGCCCTCGCATTAAAGTGCGTGAAATACGAGTGCGCTGTATACGGGAGGTGCTCGTTCAAATTGAGCCTGGGTCTTGCTGTGGTGGCGTGTCAATTTGTCCTCTGCTTTTCCCCCCGAACTGATGCTAATCTAATTTTCTGTGCAGATGATATCAGAAGGCCCGGTAGCGAATGATCTGCGTCTGCATTCCATGCTGAAATATTTCCATATTTCTGCAGGACTCGCTCGTTCGAATCGAGCCCGGGTCATATTCCGTCGGTCCGCATGATCTTTTCGCCGCTCCATCTTTGAAATGATGCTCATCTATTCTAGGCACAGGTAAAATCAGAAAGGCCCGGTAGCGGATTATCCGCGCCTGCACCCCATAGTTTGGGCACCTTGCGTTTCTGAGGAGTTACTGGTTCGAATCGAGCCCGGGTCTTGATGTGGTCTCGTGGCAATTTTTTCGTTGCTTTCCCCCCGAACCGATGCTAATCTAATAAATTTTTGTGTGCAGGTAGTATCGGAATGGCCCGGTAGCGGATGGTCCGCGCCTGCATTGCATACTCTAATTTCTTCCTAATTCTGCCGGAGCTGCTCGTTCGAATCGCGCCCGGGTCTTCGACGTCGAATGTCGAAGTCAATTTCTTTCTTATTTACGCTTCCCCCGAAATGATGCTCATCTAATTCCATGCGCAGGTAAAAGCAGAAAGGTCCGGTCGCGGATGGTTTGCACCTGCATCCCATAATTTGGTTAATTCGATGTCACAGGAGTTGTTCGAGTTCGAGCCCGGGTCATATTTGAGTTCTTCAGCGTGATTTTCCCCCTTCCTTCCATGGGAGATAATGCTCAGATAATTTCATGTGCAGGTAAAAGCCGAAGGCCCGGTAGCGGATGGTCTGCGCCTGCATTACATAATATAGTCAACTCAAATTTCGATGCCGCAGGAGTCACTCGTTCGAATCGAGCCCGGGCCTTGTGGCGTTCGGAAGGTTGTTTCTCCCTCTACAGGTGAACAATGCACATGTAATTTCATCGCGGGGGATACAGGATAGAGCCAGTGGCGGATAGTCCGCGCTTGCATTCCATAACTGGGATAATTCCATGTTGCAGGTGTTGCTCGTTCGATTCGAGCCCGGCCTTGAGCGAGTCGCCTTCATTTTCCCCTCCTTTCGTGTGTAATAATCTTTGTTTCATTTGGAGTGCAAGGGGCCGCTAGAAGGCCCGGTAGCGGATGGTCCGCTCAAATGTCTGCAGGAAGTGTTCGTTTGAATCGAGCCTGGGCCTTGATTATCGGTAGGATTTTATCCTTTTTTCATCGAAATCCTGTGGATTTAATTGGGTTCACAGGTAATACCAGAAGGCCCGGTAGCCGATGGTCCGCGCCTGCATTCCATATTTTGGGCATTTCGTTCTGCAGGGGTCGCTCGTTCGATTCGAGCCCGGGCCTTAGTCGTGGTGCTGAGAATCTCTTTCTCCTTTTCCACACGAGAATGCCCCTTTAATCTTGTGCGTGGGGGATACACGGAGGCCCGGTGGGGATGGTCCGTCTCTGCATTCCGTGTTCAGAAAGCGGGATGTTCTGTAGGAGTCGCTCGTTCGATTCGAGCCCGGGTCATATTTGGGTGTGTCCGCACTATTTTTCTCCCTTCTTTCCTGCGAAACAATGCTGATCTAATTCCATGTGTAGGTAATCCCAGAAAGGCGGATGGTCTGCGCCCGCGTCGAATTGGCCGATGGTCGCGCCGGGGATGAATTCCCTCGATGTAATGTTGATTCATTCAATCTCCGCTCGGCAGATGCCGGAACGAGCTTCTATTGTTCCAAACCGGAATACACTTGATACGAACAGTCAAGACAAAAAGACAGTGTAATGTGAGTCCAAGAAAAGCCATTTCGACGATCATTCACTGGTCATTGCTCTCTATTGTTCTCGTCGAGCCGTGCCGCAGAGTATAAGCACTCGCCTCCTCACAGCCAACCTCAGCCAACACCCCACCTTCCCGCATTCTCCATCATACCTCGAGATTTACTTCCCTTTGAACCGAGAACGCTGCCAGGAAATCGTTTCTCACAGATGGTGTGCTGCTCCCCCGGATATCCAACTTGGCAGCTCACCATCGACGAATCATAGCTACAGTCCATCAGTGTCAAGGAGGGAGTCAAGCACGTCCCTGGAATCGTCTTACGCTCACACGACCGCACTGTGTAGCTCCGAGTATGCTCTCCCGATGCCGGTCATTTCGTGTTCTCATTGCGGTTTCAGCAGCTCAGTGCGGAGCCCATAGCCGCGGACTCTCCGGACGAGTTCAGCACTTCGCATTACAGGACATGCACATGGCCAGAGATGTGCGCCAATTTTCCAGTCGGAACTTCCCAGTCTCAGGTGTGTTTCCAGCAGCGTGGGACCGATCCAGCGCGCGACGACCCACCGCGCCACCACAAACGCGCGACACCGGCCCCAGCAATGTTCTTCCGCGCGCTGCGCGCCGCGGATACACCCCGCCCGGCGACGACGCACGCCGACACCGACTCTCCGCGTACACCTCCCCCGCACCCCCGCGCACGCCACATCGCTCCCGCCCGGGAACTCGCGCCGCGCCAGCGGCGTATCATTCCCCGCGTGCCGGACGCCCTTGTCCCAGTGCGCGCCTCTCCGCGTCCGTTCCGCGAGCCAGACACACCGCGCACATCATCCCGGTCTCTCCTGCCACTTTCACGCCTTCGAAAAAAAAGAGAAGAAACACGACGCACATCTCCAAGCTTCGCAAACTTGCGCTCGACGGCCGTGGGAGTTTGCGGGGCACGAATCTGCGAACGGAGGAGTTACTTACGACGAAAACATGTTGGCGAGACGGAAAGGAAAGTAAAGAAATGCGGCACGCGGAAGGACCTGACGAGGAGAGGCGCGGGGAAGGCGTAAGGCGCAAGGCGCAGAGCGGGGGTACAGCGTAGAATTCGGGGCAGGGGGTGCGGAGGAGGGGAGAAGGGAAGAGGGGGGACGCGGAGGGGCGTGCGAAGGGGCGGTGAAGAGGCGGACGGAATGCGGGGCGAGGACTCGGAGGCACGGCGAAGTGCGCTCATTTTCGACGCGCACGTACGACGTGACACGAGGCAGAGGTGGACGCGAACGCTGGCGAGGAGGAGCGGAAGATCAGGAAGATCAGGCGGGGACGCGGGGACTGGGGTGGGTGGATGGAGCAAGGGGCGGGTGGGGCCAACACGCGGAGAGACGAAGCATGACGCGAATGGAGGGAAGTGCATGGACAGGCGCAATGCAGAAGGAATAGAAGGGCCGACGGCGATGACGCGGGATGCGCGGAGACAGAGCGGAGGAAGGTGCGGATGACGTGAAAGGGTGAAGAGGATGTGCATGGGGAAGGAGATGGAACGCGGGGAAGAACATAACAAGAATCACAATCGATAGACGCAAAGATGCACCGAATACCAAGGTTTTCCCCCACCTTCGCCGGGATGACCGTCTTCGCGCACCCGGCCCGCGAATGCGCGCTCAATGCCGTGCAGGGAGAGCGAGGGGAGGCGCACGAGGACTTGGATCTGGGAGGAAGCGTTAGCGAGTGGCGGAGGAAATAGGACGATCGAGTGAGAAGTGCGGGGATACGGCGGGGGCTCGACGGTGTAGAGATGCGCTGCGTACACCCTCGACGATATAGGGACAGCAGGACGCGAACGCACGCGCTGCGGAAGCGTGGAGGATGGAGCCTGATGGAGGGGTCCATGGCGTGGATAAGGCGGCAGGCAGAAAAAGCAGGCGCGAGGGACGAGGGACAAGGACAAGGGACAAGAACGAAGGAGTATGGATAATGCAGAGCAGAACGCACCTTAGCTTTAAACGCAATAGCGCTCTCCACATCCGATGCGCTAGTCGGGCTTTCAAGCTTTTCGTATACGCGCTCCTTCCCTGACCGTGTCATCGACGCCCGGGACGAGGAGAATACCCGCGCTGTCGACGCGGAGGCCAAGAGGCCATGAGGCTCGCCAGAGGCTCGTGCACCGTCAGGCCGAAGACGCCTAGCAAGTGTAAGCAATTTAAATGACAAGAGAAGACGCACCAGAGTGCAGATCGCGCCCCGGTCCGTAAGCTTCAAGTATGCAGGACGGGGAGCCCGTATGTGATCGCCAGCATACGCGTGTGCCAAGCTCAACGTGCGTGTGGTGACGCCCACGGCCTGCATCCTCGTGGAGCTCGGACATTTGGAAGGCCGGAAGGTGCGGTCGCCGGGAATGGAACAAGATCGTGATGGCTTCGGCGTCCGTGCGCGCGTGGATATAGCTGAGGAGCTCGGCGGGGGCGGGCATCGAGGACGGTGGTGGGTGAGATGGAGAAAAACCGGTCATTCATTTGGCGGAAATAGCTTCAGATTGCCGCCGGCGGGGGTCGGTTTTAATCGGTCTCGCGACCGATTTGTTATCGCCCTCGGAATGGCCGACATACTGACGTTGGCACGTTGCAGAACTTCTGAGCTTCGACCGGATCCACATTCTTGATCATCCCATTTTTTAACTGAGGGCTCCGACACGTTCACAGTTACACTTTTTCATACAGTAATATCGAACACGATCCAGGTTTGCCAGTGCATTTCCATCAGTCCTTTTGCGCGCGGCCCATTGACTTCGGGTAATGAAAGCGGTGAAAGCGGGATGAGCACAGAAGTTTGGTAAGATTCATAAACGGGCTCTGTTTGTGCTAATATTAATGAGAACCGAAAATATCCCAGTTGAATGAAATGGCGACATGACAGGCAGCATTCAGCGTGGCGCAAGCACTCTTCCTTTCCACCACCATGGCCAACTGCACCATTCCCTCTAACCCTGATGTCTCGGGCATTGGCGTTCGCGCAGCCATCTACGCTCAAAATCTCGCATGCTTCTTGCCTGTCATCGTGCATCTCTGGGATAGAAAGATTTCCAGGGACGAGCTAAAGGGCATCAAAGACCAATCTATCGGCATGCTAGCAGTCGCTTTCGCCATCCTCGTTACCACCGTCATCCTGGCCAAAGGCGCTGGAGGCGACCAGACGATCACCAATTACCATACCGCCGTCGTCCTGAATCTTAGTTGGATGAACAACACCAGCACGTGGATTTGGTTCATTCTCTTCGTCCACAATCGAAGCAAGCCGGATGATGACCGGCCGCCCACTCCAGCTAACTTGCGCGCATGGCGCAACGTTCTTCTTGAACCCCTCAAGAAGTTGCTGGGGACCGATGGGGCCAGTAGCGTCCAACACGACGGGATCGTCCAAC